GATGAAGGCACCCCAGTTATGAGTCTGGCTGAGCAGCGAAGGCATACCCTTGTTGACGCCGAAGAAAAAGAGCCAGTGGAAAAACTGTGAAAAGGCGCTGCCGAAGGAGCGGAGATGGTTGGGCCACAGCTCTGCACCGAAGACATAAGGTAGAACGAGGAGGCCTGCACAAGTATTAGCATGTTGCTTTATTCGACCTGTCACATATCATTGATCTACTCACCGACAGCGTATCCGAATCCGTGAATGAAAACAGCGGCGATAGCAGCTTCGCTAGATCCCGGTGCAACATTACCCTCCTGGCGATACTTGATGAAGACACCAATGTACAGATCAGAAATCATCTGGATAGTGATACCCGTGAACAGACTGCGACGGCGGCCGAGGGCATCGATGAAGAAAAAACTGGCAATCAGAGTGAAGAAGAATTTGGCCATGCTGTACATGCCGCTGAGGAACAAGCTACGGGCAGTGCCACCACCAAGTCCCAGCATGCTCAGGATGGGTACGAGGTAAGACGTGACGCTGTTTGCTCCGGAAAGTTGGGCGAGAGCGTACGACAGAACGGCCTGTTGCACACGACGCAGGTTTGAGGGGACCAAGAAGGCATCCTTCACCAGCACGACGAAGCCGGGGTTGCGTCCAAACTTCTCTTCCTCTTTGGAGATCTGGTCCTTGATGTCTTCGATCTCGGTTGCCACCCGGGGGTGATCCACCGGCAGCCCTCGGAGAGCCGTCAGATTTTGGATCGCCTCATCGTCCCGTCTGGCAATGAACAACCAGCGTGGACTTTCATAGAGCAGGAAGCTTGCCGCGATGAGGATGGCCATAACGATAGTCGGAGAGAAGAAGACGATCTGATACTGAAGCCTGCCGACAGCGACATGGATGAAGCAGGCGTAGACGATGAAGACCGACACAGTCAAGGAAAGCAGCATGGCAACGCTAAACCAGACAGCCAGGAGACCACGGATCTCTGTAGGGGCAATCTCGACGATACTGACAGGTCCAGTGACTGTGAGGGCACCAATACCCATGCCGGAGATGATGCGAGCAAAGTAGAGTGCACCGATGTTACCCATCGACACGGTTGCGATGATTTGTCCGATGATCCAGATGGTCATGTAGAGGCGATAGGACCACATTCTCCCGATGCGATCATTGAGGAAGAATGACAAGCCGGCGCCGATGCCAGCTCCAATGTAGACGAAAGAGATGAAGTTGGAGACTTGAGTAGGGTTCGTGGCCGATGTGATTCCAAAGTCTTTCTGGAAACCGGGAAGGGACGGCACCACCGAGGAGGAGCCTTGATCCCATGCTATGTTGACCGGTCAGCCGGTCCATCTTGGAAATGCCAATGATGGTGAACGGAGTATTCTTACTGATGGGGATGCCACTCGTGGCATAGAGGGCAGCGGTGAGCAAGAGCTTTCGGTTCGAGATGAGTTCTCGAGGCGACTCCCTGATTGCCGTGATGTACTTGGCGAAGGTCGACTCCGTGAAGACTTGCTTGACACCCATCTTACAGAGGACGACGCGTTGTCCTTCTTGAGTCCGAGTAATGATCCGGCAAATCGGCACCGTCTGTATGGTTGGCACGAGAACTCGACCGCGTTGTATAGGTAGTGAGCAGATGAAACCTTTGGCGACAAGTGAGTAATTAGATGAACCAAAGGAGTCGTGTGTTTTGTCGATGGGTCCTGCGATATATCATCGGACAGGGAGATTGCCCAATCGGTATCTATATGTCAACCTGTTTGCATATTTGTTGGCTCGTTATGCATCAGCTGGACGTTATCAAAGCCAAGATGCGAAAGAGAGACGTTCGGTCTGGCTCAACCCCTACCCTACCCTGCCTCGAGCATGCCTCGCTTGCTGACCAAAGAGTCCCAATCGGCAGGGTCGTCGTCTGTGCAAGCTCAAGATCCGGGGTAGATACCTCTGACGGGGGTTTCCAGTCCATTCGTCCCTACGGCGCATGACCAAGAATCCCTTTGAGATAGGATTCTTCCTCGAACCCCCCTTCAGCGTAACCCGTATCAGGCTAAGGTAGGTTGACAGTCACCGGCTCTGATGGGACTTGCAGTAGCTTGCCAACCACAGCCCTGGATCGTTATCCGGGACAATCCGGGCAAGGGTGTCCATGTCTGCGGCACACTGCGAAATGACGAGAGCGGGGTCGTAGAGCGACACAGACTAGGACGTTATCAGCTGCCGGGACCGGACCCAAGACCGCGCGGTGGGTGGAGGGCCCGTGGGGCACCCGGCACGAGAGTGCTCCGTTAAGGGAGGATGTATCTTTGATAGTGACGGCGACTGGGGGATGGACTTATCTAATTGGATTGGTTGCGGAGTTGTTGATATCAATTTGAGTGTTTATGGTCTTGCTCCCTGCTAAGTCGCCAATCATTGCCAATGTGGTTTTATTCACACAGTCACAAGTCACCAGCCTCTCACAAACTTCGACGTGTTGTTGAATCCTTTAGTTAACACTATTGCTCCTCAATCCAGGCGTCGCAGGGACTTTAGCTCCCGCACTTTCTTCTAGCTCCGACCCGGCCAGCAGCGTTGCCACGGCGTTTACCGAATAATCATACCATACGACCTGTCGGCACTCGACTAGTTTGCTCGATCCAAGAGAAAAAGGCCGTTCAACGCCGTTCCAGGAAGCTGGTGTTCCCATCTTTCGCCTGTCGACCCCTCGTCGCCGAAAGTTTAGCAGCACGCTACTGAAGTACGAACAATCCTTTCGGACTCCTCTCCGAAACCTGGCCAGAGCTTCTGGAACGTCTTGGGGCCAAAACTCCCGAGAATAGCTTCTGCATTTTTTCTTCAACTCTGCTCAGCTATACCGGTGCATGCAGTAGCGCAGCCAGAAACCATGGCACGCTCACCTAACAAGGACGATGCGGTCATCATCGTCGGGGCCGGCATCTTTGGTCTCAGCACCGCGTTGCACCTGTCTCGCCGGGGATACAAGAACGTCACCGTCTATGACAAACAGCCCTACCACGAAAGTCTGTACTCGTATTTTAAAGGCGCCGATGGAGCCTCTGCAGGTAAGAAACTTTATCACTCTTCTAGTGCTGCTGGCAGAAGGCTAATGGACGATCCAGACATGAACAAAATCATCAGATCTGCTTATGGCGCACAAACGGAGTACCAAGGGTTGACCATTGAGGCGCTAGAGGGCTGGACCGCTTGGAACGAGGAGCTGGCAAGCGGGAAGACAGTCCCACCCGGCCTAACCACCAACGACCGCGTATTTGTCAATAACGGCAACCTGTCACTCTCAGACTCAGCAACCTTGCCGCAATTCGAGCAGGACACCGTTGACAACATGGAGGCAGCAGGGCATCGAAATACTCAACTGATCACCATTGATGAGAAACATCAAAAGATCGCTGCTGAAAAAGAATGGTCGTTCGGAATGGACCCGTTCCGACGTTTGCAAAGAGGTCTCAATGCGGCCGGCGTTCTCGACACGACGGGAGGCATGGCCGTGGCTGACAAGGCCTGTCGTTTTGCGCTGCATAAGGCAGGAAGCCAAGGCGTCAAGTTTGTGTTAGATTCGCAAGCTGGTGCCCTTGTCTCGTTGATTTACGAGGGGAAGAAGGTTGTCGGGATCAACACCCGAGACGGCAAGGAGCACTATGCGAAGCTGACTATTCTGGCGTGTGGTGGCTGGACACCTTCTTTACTCCCAGCCATGGACGGTCTGTGTGAGACGACGGCAGGATCGGTGGTGCTGCTCAAAATACCCCGTGAATCGCCGTTGTTTACTCGTTTCGCACCCGAAAACTTCCCAACCTTCACTTACAAGGTGAGGGACGGCGCTGAAGGTGGTCTGTACGGGTTTCCTAGGGATGAGAATGGCTGGCTGAAGATCGGCTATCGCGGAACCAAATTCACAAACCCAGTCAAGCAAGCTGACGGCAAGGAACGCAGCGTACCCGTAACACGGTGGTCGAGTGCATCGGCGCCTGGCGATCCTAAAGAAGCGACTAATGAGCGCCTGACGACGATTCCCCAGCAAGCTCTGAAAGTTTTGCGCTTATTCTTGGCAGAGAATCTCCCGGAGCTAGGCGCCGAAGGCATCGATATTTCTTTCACTAGAGTGTGTTGGTATACGGACAGCTACGATAATCATTTTGTGATTGACCATGTCCCCGACACCGAGGAGTCACTTATGGTTGCGACTGGCGGGAGTGGGCACGCGTTCAAGTATCTTCCCAACATTGGTAAATGGGTCGTAGATGCGGTGGAAAAGAAGGGCCAAGACCAGATTCCACCAAAGCTTTGGAAGTGGAGACAGATTGGGAAGCAGGAGGAGCCGTATAATGTCTTAATGGAAGGAAGCAAAGGCCCGACAGCTCTCGGCAACGTGCCTTTGGCGGCCGAGATCGAGGTATCTGGCAGTGTCAAATCTAGGTTGTAGAATTGAGGCTAGGTCTCGACATATGTTGAATCCCAAGATGCTACTAAGGTACCATCAATCACTTTACCATCCAACTATACATAGACCGAGATTCCGGGTTTTCTCCTGCGATTTGACTTTTGATTCAGCCCTAACGTCGATGTCTAGCTACTTTGGCTGTAGAACGGGAGATTTCCAGGTTTGTGCGACTCTTAGCTGAGGTTCGGCTATAATGACCGTAGCGTCGGATGTGCTCCCCGAATACTTATTAAGAAAACACGCGCCGTCCAACTATCTTGTACCCTCTTCCACCGTATGCTATAGTCTACTGCAAAGAAGATTTGGTCCGGCTTCTTCGGGCTGTCCGTCCTGCATGAGCTACATTAGTCCAATTCACCAGATCTTGCTGCAAATCAGATGCATCTAGACAACGCGCAAAACACATGGCCTTTGTATAAACCTCAGTTGGAAGTATCTATCTATTATTGCTTTTTACAAATTGACGAACGTCTTCCAAAAAGCCCACGTCCGCGTAAAGAATTACCCGCGAATCACGCTGAGCCTCCTAAGCTGTGCCTTGGCATCATCGTAGCTCCTCCTCCCCAACCTCCGTCGACGCCGGTGCCGGCGACTTCTGTGGATACTCCTCGAGATTTTGGTTCTGAGCATTCCTCGAGCTCAACTTCTCTACTCGTTTAGGGTCTTTGAGAATAAAGCGGCGGACGAATTGCCAAATGTTTGGGATGCAGGTCGTGAAAACGCCCACGTCGAGCTCTATGTCTGACCACACGGCGACGGGCATTGCATCGACTAGAGATGGTCAGTCCCGCTGAGAGTAGCACGCCAAACAGTGTTTGTTTTTGGATGATTCGAAGCTCTACTCACCAGTTGGATTGGTCGACGCAGTCGTGTACCTCAACACCGCCCTCAGTCGTATACCGCTGGAGATTGTGAGGCTGATCGTAGTAGGGTGGTTAGTCGTATGTCAGAGATGAAGTCGGCGTTCAAGAGACAGTGCTTACAATAGGCCGAGACTGAACATGAACATCACCGCCCATTTCTTTCGAGGCTTCATGTTCAGGAAGAGCACCTGAGATGCCGGTAGAATGAGCATCCACACGTCTAGTACGATGTTGACCACCCCGTGGACCACGCCAAGCGGCGGCACCGGTATACAGTGACCATCCTCCTCCCCGGTCCATTGTTTCCAAGCTTTCCCGATGGGTTGACACTGAAAGGCCACTAGGAACACGGATCCCATCCCGAGCCCCACGGTAACAGCTTGTGTTGTCCACAAGACCCGGCGAAACTTCTCGCCAGGAAAGATTCGGAGGTACATGAATAGTATAGAGGATTTGATCAGCGTCAGCGTGAACACATAGAGCAGTTGGCCGATATAAAATGTCTGGAGCCAGTCAACGTTGTATTCTCGTCTGAATACGCGTTGTCGTTGGAGGGAAAGTTATTACCAAGAAGTAAAGGTCGATTTGGTCGAAAGTGAGACTCCAAATATCTCGCCCGGCGCCGTTCAGTTCAGCTGTGAAGTAATCAACACACAATTTATCGAAATTTCTTTTTTATTTTGCATAGGGATCTTCTTACCGACGTAATTTACTGGTATGAAGCCAAACATTATGATCTCGATTCACGGGTTAGACTTTTCTTCATCATATTTTCCCAATCCAGGGGTCGTAACTCACATATGTCAATAAAATGGTACTGTCATCAAATCCCCAGGGTGATATCCGGGCGATCTTCACAACTAAGCGGATAATGATGGCGAAAGTGGGAAGTGTGAAGAACAGAACCAGGCGCATGATCTTGACAGCGGCGAAGTCGTCCTCAACCGGAAAGCCGCACTCCGTCTGCGTGATATTCTTCGTGACTGGAGATGTGGTTAGCAATGTGCCGTCTCGGTATCCCGACGGAAACATCAATTCACTGACCCAGGGCATTTTTGACTGAACAATCCGCTCTGACACATGTCTCGACTAGGTTTATGTATGAAGTATCATGGCAGAGGCATGCTTGATCACCGGAAGTGCATGTCGACTTTGGAATGGCATCCAGTAGGCAAGGTACCTGCCTTTTATTAGCAAGACTTAATGGTAAGAAATGCATTGTGGGAAAGTACTTACTGCGCATGGTGGAATGTCGCCCAGGCTGGATGCTTTCGTAAGGGTACTGAGGCTGAGTAGGAGTAACGGCGGTGCGAGCCGTGCCCAAAGCATGACTGCAAAAGTGATAGATAAGGGGAAGATATGCGACTCTTTTCCTTCCTGGACAGAGTCGTTTGTCGCCTCGATATCTGCTCCTTACTCGCTGGTTTCCTAAGTAGTGACAACCACGATTTGACTTTTGTGAATTTGTAGAGCGTGGTCTGGTTCCGGTTTTGCATCAAATGGGGAATCTTGCCTCAATTGAAGAAGGAGGCAAGCGAGAGGGACTCCCCGTATGTACGATTCCTTCAGCCCGCTTAGATGAGCGGCCACGTTAGCCTCGCAGCCGCCACGGCAGTGCCTTCATTGGTTTTGAGGTGGCTCGACTCCGCACCGCTGACATTCCGATGCCATTTGCGTCAATCTCGATAGCAGTGGCGTTGAATGGCCACAAAGAATGCTTTATATCTAGTCCATCAATTCCTGAAAGAATGCCAGCATCGACTTCAGATCGAAGCCGGTTTCGGTCTAGATCATTCAACGCACGGATAGGCGGTCCAGCCGAATTATTTCTCGATCTGTCGCATGGTTCCATGACGAGATTATCTGGATTGCAATGACCATTGATGCTAGGTATGTAATCGAGCAAGCTAGTGATCGGAACTCTGTCACAATGCCTCGTTGGCGCTTCCCCCTTGAGATCGGGCCGAGGCTAATCCCGTCTCCTAGGAGGATTAGTCCACCAGCTCCATGCGGGCCGCGACGATTATCACTGACTCTATCAAAATCAAAACCGAAGAATCGCATATTTACTTCCCAGGGGCCATTTTTATTCCCCAACTTAACTTCTCTGGCATCGACCTTGCGCACTAGTTTATCCAAAATCGTTCATTTGCAAGGACTGTCTATCAGCCAGCAGAGACTTCGGCCAAGACAGCATCCCATCAAGTTCTGATTGTTAGATACAGCATTCTGTTTGGTCTCAAGATGACTCTACCTTTTTAAGCCTTTGTAAATTGAAGGGGAAACAGTGGTGGATATAGACGCCATATGCTTTCCCACCGCACGAACGATATGAATAAGAGTCATCTGGCAGTGGATAGGGTATCTAGTGGAAAATTTTGAAAGAGCCAACAATTCCGCCAGAGTCTACACGGGCTCTTTGAAGCTTCCATTTCGGCCTAGACAATTATCAAACAATTCTCGAGTAAAGTTCCACACTTTCACATCCAACCCTCTCTCCCTCATAACCCCCAAAACTTCCTCATTATCAACCCTCTCCCCTTCCGGACCAACCAAAAACACACCACCCCCGGACCTTTTTACATCCTCGACCCCTCCAGGAACCCTCATAACTCCCTCCCGCCCCCGAGAATCATACAAATCACTCGTCGCCAAAAATAACCCCCTCTGACCCGCCTCCTCAACACCCATCTCCCCCCTAACGTCCACCCCAAACCCCCTCACCCTCTCCAACCCAGGCGTCGCCACGGGTCCAGGCATAGAATGCACAAAACTCACCCCTGGGTTCGCCCTCGCCAACACCTCAAGCGCGAGCGTACCCATGGTCGTAGCCTGCACGGAAGCAGGCCAGTAACCCCAATTCCCGGGCTTCCGGAGGTCAAGGTCCTCCTCGTCGGGCATGGGTCCCTCTAGCCCCGCCGCCAGCACCGACACGACGCGCGGGCGAGCCGCCTTGTGGAGGAGGGGGAGGAGCTTTTGGACGGCGCGGAGGCGGGTGTAGTACCGCGTCGACATGGACGGGTCCAGCCCTTCTACGGTGTTTTGGCGTCCTTCAAAGGCGATGAATCCCGCGGAGAGGAAAAGAATGTCGACTTTTGTTTCCCTTTGGAGAATGGTCTCCATGGCGGCGTCAATGTCGGATATCAGGGCATGGTCTGCGGGGAGGAGGGTGTAGCTGGCATCTGGGTTTGTGCTTGCGCGCAGTGAGGCAAGGAAGGTCTCGTGAGACGCGACGGTCTGAGGGCGCGCCACGGTGTAGATGTGTGGGGAGCGCGCGTGTTGGGCAAGGTGCTGGAGGGTGCTTTTGCCGATGCCTGATGTTGCGCCGATGAAGACTGCTACTAAGCCCTTTGGGAGAGATGCGACGAGGGCGTTGGATTGGTTAACTACGTGAAGGGAGACCATGGCTGAGGAGTTTGGAGCGAGTGCTTTCTGGTCAACGTTATCTTTGGGTTACTGTGTCCCGAAGTTGGAAAGTTTTACCATGCGTTTACAAGACATATATCTTATAAGTTATTAGCTACTGGACATTATCGCCAACATCACCCGATATCGATGTCGTTACTCGATGGCAGTCCGTAAACTATCGTCAGCAAGCCAGAATTCGATCGAATTTCGGACGAGAGAGATGCATCCTCCTAGTATTAGTTCGTCTCATTGGTCGGCTATAATGCCTCATCAGTGCAGGGTACCGATAAGTTGGTCAGCAATAAGCTGTGGCTCGGATAGATAGGTCTGAAGCGGACGATAAAAATAATCCGAATTGCGAAGGTGACAGAGAGGTATGTTTGTCTGTCTCGGACCTGCTAGCCTTCTAACATTTGTGATCTGGTGGAGACTCGGGTATCAAAGCCTCATGTCCTTCGTATCCTCACTCTTACCACGATTCCAAACCCGCGCATGCTCTCCCATATTCCCATCTCGTTTTCCCGGCGAAAGGTTACTTCCTCCCCGCGCACCGTCATTGAAACATTTTCCTCGAACGTTGTGGAAGGAGACGTGGGCTTCATAAACTGTCGAGAAGGCGGTGGGCCCGATGAGGACGACGAAGGTGACGATGAAGGATCTGTGCCAGCTCTGAATAGCCCCCAGCGGCCGGCCTTTCTATCCTCTTTTGCTTCTTCTACGACGGCACGGACGACGGTACGGTCGAGTTTTGGTTCGGGCTGTAGCCGTTTCGCGAGACGCCGGGCCAGACCTTCATCGCTCCACCACCATTCTCCTTCCCTTGACGTCGACGCACCTGTATTGACGTCGTCGTCCCAGCGGCCCCATTCGTCGAATTCATAGGGGGAACCTACAACTGCATTTCCGGAGGCTGCGCCCGTGCTTTGACCCTTGGTGCCACCCCTTCCCTTAGAATCGGGGTCGGGCTCCGGTTCCACGCGGATGACCTCCGCGACCTGGCCTGCCTTTGGGTCGGCATCTGAAGCGATGATCCATTCTGGACCGACTGCCGCAGCGGGCACGAGATAGAGCTCTGTTGAAATCGGTGGGTGAGGAGTCGTTCCTAGACGTGTCAAGAGTGACGTGATGTGGGGCGTTAGGAGCGGAAGAAGGGTTGTTGTCGTGACGGTATCACGGGCGGTCTGCTGAGCTTGCGTTTCGCGGAGCAAGAAAGAGAGGTTGTTGAGGGTCACTGAGACCGATGAGTTGTGGTTGAGTGACGACGATGAGTGGTATGATGTCGTTGCCTCGTTGTACGAGGGGGGCAGATCCCCGTCTCCGTCAGGGTTCTTCGACATGGCAACAGTATCGTGAGTAGGTTTGGAATTGAATTGATGCTTTGTGGTCAGACTTCTGCAACACAGACTGAGATTTGCGTGAAAATGAGCTCGTCGGGCTGATGCAGTCGTAAGGGAGATGATTGGAAGTCCGTCGTTCGTGGGTCACTGAGTGAATGACCTTGATAGATGAACAGTAAGCCTGAGCTCTTTGTGCCAAAAACGCCTCGGGCGACTCTGGCATCGGGTGCGTGCCGCAATGGTGACTGGACCTTGAAGGATCAGAAGAGGCAGGCAACGACTTTGGGTGCCGAGATGGGGATTCCGCAATGACGAAAGAGTGGGAACACGGCTCGACGTACTCCGTAGTATCTAGGTAGTTGCAATGCTCTCGGCCGACGCCGATGGGAGCATCGGTTCGACTTCTACAGGGCTGAACTCTTGTGACCGCAAGACCTGCACGAACAGCATGCAGTCGGACTCAGGATCCGGGGATGGTGGCGGAGATTATCGGGTTTCGTGGTCACGGGGTCCTCTGGGCGATCAATGGTATGCAGGGGCGGATGTGTATGATTATGTTGCGTCAAAGGGCAGACATGGATTGAGGCTGTGAGTTGGTTCGTGGGTGTTGTAGATCCTTGGATAGCCTCTCTTGGGGTCGGTTCAGGCGGCAGTGCGGCTGGGCGAAGGAAGACAAGCAGGCGCTGTAAAGGCCACTCGACGATTATCGGATACGCTAATGGCAGGTTCCAAGGGTTCTCGGAGGCGTTTTCGAGTGCCTGGCGAAGGTGCCGAAAAGGAGAGGAGGAGGGAAATGCGCCCGACTAAAGTGCTGTGCTGTGCTGCGCCGCAGCTGGTTCCTATCAGAAGGGCTCAAGGAGACACTAGCGCGCCGCCATCGCTCAGCATTCCCGGAACAGGTGACCGAGAATGAGGCCCGCTCGTCGATTGACATGAGGGAAAATCAGACCCTAGGCTCGGTCATCGCCTAGGGAAAAGAAGGTCGAATTGAGTTCGAAGTTGATGTGGATATGTGAGCGATTTCTTGATGTTGATGCTGCGTGATTAAGATGCCCGTTTCAGCCGCAAGATATGTTGGCATGCAATAGCAAAGTAAGCGTTCGGTGACGGGAATTACAGGCCTTCATCTTGCGCTGCCTGGAATTCTAGCAGCAGACTATGCCGTCTGAGAGGGTCTATGTTGTATAGAAGAGAACGTGGATGATCTGACTCGGGCCTGTGCACTCGAGTTAGCCCGTCCCTGCATCTTCTGGCGCCTTTTGATGCATGTCTGACCTGGCGAAACCATGAAAGTGAGGGTGTTGTCGATGGTGTCGAGCGAAGAGGTGGAGGGCCTCAGATGGGAAGCGGTGGAGTGGATCGACACCTTAATTTCCCCAGATCAGCCACATTCGGCGATTAGGTGACTCCAGGCATCCATATAAGGCAGGCTTCGAGAAGAAGTCTAGCGCGCACTAGCCACACCAGCTGACTTGACCCAGCCACAGGAGTGTTATGATTGGTTCGAATATTCCGAAAAAGTCACGTGGAGAGGTAGGACTGACTAACCGGGTGCCTGCCGTCTGATGCGGAATTCAAAGGACCAATCCAGCTACTCTCTTTCCGCCATTTCCTCCACCTACAGGTCCAACCGTCCAAGGGTGAAGGAAGGTCTTACCATATGCACTGCCGCCACCAACGGAGCGATGTTCTGACG